AGGTTCGCAGCCCGATTTGTAACCACTACGCTACCAGAGCTCCTTCTAGTCAAGGTTAGGATCATATTAACATAATGTGTCATAAAGCCATTAGTATTTGAAATATTTATGTAATACAATTAATTTGGTTATTGTACCTTTTCTTTTGCAACAGATAATAGGCAACAGATTCCTAGTTTTTTCACTGAATGGGAAATCACAAGTTTTTCTGTTGTTTTTCTTTCCCTGTAACAAGATTACGTTGTTGCTGTTGTTAAGTGCCGTCGAGTCAGTTCCGACCCATAGCGACTCTGTACAGGGTTTCTGAGGCTATAAATCTTTACGGGAGCAGAAATCCTCATCTTTCTCCTGCAGAGCAGCTGGTAGTTTCGAACTGCTGACCTTAAGGTTCACAGCTCGATTTGTAACCACTACAATTTCACTGATGCAGAATTTAATTTAAAGGACTAAGAGCTTAAGGCATTATTTTTCAGTTTATTCTCCCCTCCTATGTTATATCTATAATTTGTTACCTTTTCGATTGTATCAAAAGTTTTGAAACCTACTGATACATATAGACATTTCACTTCCTGTCTTTCGGGAATTTTCCAGATGAAGCTGAGACATTTAGAAATGTAGCTTCTGCATATAAAAGCAGACCAGCTCAGATCCTTTACGTATAATGAAAATAATATTGGAATAGAATGACTTGATTTTCTGTTATTTAATGTATACATTAATAATCTCATTTTTGTGACTACGGTTTTATCCCAGATAAAATCCTTACATTGAATACTTACTTGGAACACACAGGGATTATATTCTTCTGGCTTGATTGTCCACTAAAGTCACTGTGCTTTTTTTTTTTTAAGGTATTGCCATCAGAGAGTCAGCAAAGGTTGTCGACCAAGCCCAAAGGAGGGTGCTGAGGGGAGTGGATGACCTTGACTTTTTCATAGGGGATGAAGCCATAGATAAACCTACTTATGCTACAAAGGTAAAGCTTTGCCCAGAGTTGGCTCCTGATAAGAATAGAGCAGCAGAGTAAATAATGCAAAATGAAAGATAATCTAAGAATTGTATTTGTGAATTGTGGGGTGTATTTTTATTCTTATGTTTGAGTAAAAGATTTTGTTGCTGTTGTTTGAGCAGAGGTAATTCTGATGTGGGGACATTAATTAACCAAGCCCCAGAATGTATAACTGATTCAGGGAACACTTAGTTGTATACAAGAGCAAGGTCTACTATTATAGTAAATTGTAGATTGATTGACCTGTCATATATGGAAAATTGTTGATGGATTTATTAAAAATAAATACTGTAAACTCCAAACTAGACATTTATTCTTTAAAACAAAAAACACAAAACACCAGCATGAGCATGTGTGTTTTCCACACTGTATTTTGCTATTAGAGACATTTATCAAACTATTGCCTAAATCGATTTTGGATAAATGCCCTTTTTACCATGTTTAACGTGTGTGGTCTTCAGTACCAATTTTGGCTTTTTGACTAGTAGGAGTAGCTTCCCCTTCTGTGCTTTCTCTGATCACATACTTTGCCCTCAGATTTGAAATTTTCTCCTAACAGATGTCTTCCCACTTTAAAAAACTTAGTTCAAGAGATTAAAAAACTTTGTTTTAAATGGGAGAACATTGGTTTTACATTCATCCTGTGGTATTTCATTGCAATGATTACAATCCCTTCCGTGCATCATCACTCAACAATATGTGCTTCTATTCCTTCTGTTTTTTCTTTTTTGGATACATACAAAAACACTCAAGAGTATGTAAAATTACCAAAGGGTACATTCTGAAAGCCTGCCTCCTGGCCACTTAATTCCCTTTCTGTTGCTGGAAGTAGAATTCACTTCTCCTCTCTTTGTGTTTCTAGGACTTGATTTCAGTATTTTTGTTTGTAGGTTAGTCTGCTAAACTTGGGTGTGTTTGTGTGTGTGTATGCCTATGCATTTCTCCTACAAAATGGAATTTACATAAGACTCAAGGAAAATACAGTCACTCCATCAGAGCTGACTCAGTGGCGCTTGACAACAACAAAAAACAATCAGTCTACCAAATAATGTCAACCTTTTATACAGTTTCTCTTGTTTATGTCTTTACCCTCAATGTTAAAATGTCTTCCTGTTATGTGGCACTGTGGGATAAGCACTGGATGGCAAGGTTGCATTGAGCCACAAAGTTGGCAGTTCAAACTCA